AAATATAAAAATAAATAATTCTTGTTTTACAGATATTTTCATTTATCGCTATAAATGTGTATGTACGTATGTATATGTGACATAAATGAAATTAATTGGTTGAACCTGCTTTCCTATAATAACGTTCAATATGTGATATTAAACAACGTACTTTCTTTACAAAGTCACGTACCTACATGTGCACGACATCGTGCACCGGTACAAATTGAGTGATAATAGAATGATTGTGGTACAATGAGGTCAACTTAGTCCAGAGAATCGTGTCTTCAGTGTCGTGCCTCTAAAAGCACCGCAGCACGTCAAAGCATATTGTGCTTCAATATCCATAATATCGCATGTGCGTCACAAAAGCGAATAAATGTCGCTTCGAAAATACATAAATATTTCGTGCATAATTTTTCCTTTCTACGCATCTAATTTTGACGTTGCGCAATGACTCGCTTCTCTCATTTTATCGATTACGATATAAAATTCCGATAATCTTTTGCTTCAAAGCGATTTATGGAAAGGATAGTAAAGGGAGGGAAATCACTTTGATGTTCTTTCATTGTCCTAAATCTTGAATAAGCTGCCTCGTTGCTCCTCCGGAAACGTTACTTTCGAACGCGGCACGCAAATGCCGAGTTGTGAATGGGACTGAAACGCCGCCAAGGAAAAGCGTTGCATGCATACATTTCTTTTTTTTTTCAGAGATCGTGCGTAATACCCCAAATTTATCGTAGCCGAACGAACTGCTTTCAGACGCGTTGCCCGTTCGACGCGAGAGTCAATTCCGCCTAAGGGTTGCCAAGCGTATCTCCGCTTCCTTGCTCGAGGCAAGCGGAGACTCCAAGTCGGTCTTGCTGGTCGTTGCGCGTTTCATTATTTGACACTCTCACCCAAGCCTAGCCTAAAGAAAGTTACAAGATCCACCTATCATAATCTTGTTACGTCAAACACAAAATATCAGCGTAACCGTAATTTCACTTGTCATTTTTTATAGTCGGTATATGTATATATAGCGTCGGTACAAACTCTTAAATAACGATTATGTAATGGACAGCGAATTCTCATTGTATTCTAATCAATGAAGTTGACCGTTGAGAGATACATTTGCGTAGGAAATTCGAGATTAGACGAAATCAGCTGCGTTGAGAGAATATCGAGAGCCGAAGTGGGGAAGTTAGCGACCGTTGAAGGATCCATCGTCTATCTGTTTCCTCTTCTTCGGGGGGGTCGCGTATAGTAATCCGAGCTGGCAATACACCTCCAGAATGCCCCTCCCCCCTTCTCCCTTCTAAATTTTCACGAGGGGACGAGGATGCGAAGAACGGTTCGCGCACGCGTCGGTTTCTCCGACTTCCTGCCATCCTGCCTTGCTTCCGCTATTTCACATTATGTTATATGCATACGGGTCGCCACGCCGCTGACATCCACGCCACCGGGAATCCCTATTAAGGAGACGCATCTGCGCGCGATCCGAGCGATTCTCCGCCGTCGCCGCGGCCGCGCCGCCGCCGCTTGTTATACGAGGGGCACACCGCGCGGCGCCGAGACGACATGGTAGACAGATGCTGGACCGAGCAACCCCTTATTTGACGCTTCGCGGAATGAAGGAAATTTACAATGCGGCTCTTCGCAGCGAGCTATTAATTCCTGAAAATGCAATCGGAAACTCGAAACCCAACGCGATTGGAAAAAGGGGGCCCAAGGTTCCAAATAATCAATTCTCTTGGAAAGCACGAAAAGATGTGCTTTTATGAAGCATTTTACATTTGTAAATATTAAATCCTAATTTTTTCATGTCGAGTTCCTTCAGTTGAGGGAGAAAGACACCGAGTAAATTGTTCATTGTGTATTTCTCTGAGCGTTCTCCAAAACGTATCGCCGCCTCGGATTTTAAGTTCCGTGAACGCGGCGAGTGAGCTACCGAGGCGTGTCTCCGTTTCCTCGAGGCTACGGCCGGATTTGCGAGGCTTCGCGTTCACCTCCGCGAGTACGCAGAGGGCACGTGAGCTACGCCGATTCACTGGCGTTGAAAATCTCTGGCGAGAACAAGGGAAAAAATGTAGCACGTTTGCACGAAAGTGTCTCGCCCCGATGGACATCAGATTAAACATCCGGGGATACATTTTGTATTTTTGTCCGATTATTTAATTTGCACAAAACACTCGTGCGTTACGCAAGACTCAGATTTTACTTGCGACGAACGGCGACAAGTTATATTTTTACTTCACCAAACGGTAAAGAGGTTGAGTCTGTCAGCTTTTTTTTTTGCTTTTGTCAAGAAACTTTTCTTTGCACCCACGTCCTGAAATTCACGCGTCTATGCGTTTGCGGTCAACGAGGTGTATTATCATCATCGTATAGCGACGCGGTGAAGAAAAGACGTGCTCGCTGCGCGCACGCGGCCACGCGTGCATATAAATAGCTGCATATGGGCCGCGTGCGTCCGCGCGCGCGTGTAAGTAACAATGTGTGCGGTTTTCACGTGCGCGCGTGCGCGCGCGCGCCCCGCGTACAGGCGGGGATATAATGAGAGGACGAGCGGGGAATTAATTGAAGTGGCGATGTAAGAAGCATACTTTCGGACGTGTCTGGCGTCTCGTAATTATTCTCTCTTACGGAACTGCTGCGTTGTAATTAAATCGTTAAATCGCCCACGGGAATGAAAGGTTCGAGTTACATGTCGCGTTCGTTATAACAGAGCTGTTTATCGTCCGGGAGAAATATAGGCTGTGTCTATATTTTATTATCATTCTCGGACATATAATTACGTGAAAATTATTACAACATAAAGTGATCGTTTCGATTTTGAAACGGATGCTTCCGTGTATCTCCGAGAAGCTTTCCGGCTTATCTATCTATTGTATATTATTGAATAGAGGTAGAGGGCGGACACACGCCGGGCCCCCGTTACTACCGCGCGTAACCGTTTATGCAAGAGAGACGTCGGGTACCCGACGAAAAGGATGTGCGAAAGGAAGCCGCGGCCACGGTGCCGTGAGCATATTTCCCATCCGAGAGAGAGAATGCCGAGAGCCTGCCGGCTCGTTTCCTACCTCTCCCCCGCCGCGAATGAAATGTCCGCGACACGCACACACGTGCGGGAGGAGGGACACCGCGCGCGTCAAAATCGCGCGGCGTGACAAAACCCCTTTTCGTCTCGAGAGCCCCGCGGTCGCGCCGGTTCGTTTTGATTTGGCTTTCGCGCTTATTTACCGAGCGTATTCGCGCTTTTGCGGAAAACAATGTCGCGTCCAGTGGCGTCTGCCTATATCCCGTTAAGTGCTGGAACAATGGCTGACAAAGTGACATCGCGACGCCGCGCGCCGTTGTCGAGGGTCATTGTTTCACGTACAGTTTTATTTCCTCTTTCTCCTTTCCGACGCGGTTACGTAATTCTTTCATGCGAGCGTAAAATCGATAGGGCAGATAACGGCGAAGAACTAAAGCAGCGGCAATTTTTATTCGGACTGTTGTAACGGCACCGCGTCCTGTGGTACTTCGCAAGGGTGCATAATATTGTGCACATCGCATGCACCTTGCGCGAATGCCGCAACCTGTCGGCGAAATTTGAGTTATCGACGATTGGGGTCGCAGAGAATACGAGTCATTTAGCATCGTAACCGGCACACAAAGCCAAACGGGGGGAGGCCGTCGTTAATATGAAGGGGTTGCGCCTCTGCCAACATGTACTTATATTATAACGACAAGTATTTTCATTGTAGTCGTACTTCTCTCTCTCGCGAATACTAATCGATACATTTACAATTGATATTAGCTCCTTTACATTATATTAGTTCCGCTTGTGCCATTGAAGTTTTCGCGTGCACGCCGAAGGAGCCGGAAATGAAGAGCGTCGAATTCTCGCGAGTATCCGTTGTATCGATCGGTGAGATTTCATCTCGTCAACTCGATACAGATCCAATTCTCTTCTCTCAAGCCATAACGACGTTTCTTTTCGCACGTAAATTGATTCGGTGTCTCCTTCGCGCAAATTGAATTTTACCCGGTAGGAGAAGATAGTTCATCTCTCCCCGAGGATCGCTCTCTTCTCTCTCGATATATCTTCTTCTACAGCGGCAATCACCATTAACTCGAGCGTTATTAAAAAAACCTCGTTAATAAATCATTTTTGTGCGTCGTGCCTGAAAGTGCCCGCATGGAAATTAAACGAAACGTCGGACTTAAGGGATTGAATGAATTTCGTCCTCGCCCGTGACGGATTAAAGGTATATATGGGTACCTGTATGAAGTTCCTTCGCGCATGACGCCGCCGTGCCACGAATATCATTTTTCTTCCCTTTTTATTTGTCATTATGTAATTTGTAGTTCGCGCGGCGATCTTGGTCCGCGTCGTCATGGGATGAGAGACGTATCTCGAATCCCATGGAAATACGATCTTCTTGATACGCTTCGAGCTGCGCGCGGTTCCAAGTCGGGAATCAAAACGCAGCGCTCGTGGATTTATTGCTATTCGATTCGATAGAGGTAATTCGTCAAGTTGTAAAGTTAAAAAGCGATAACAGCATTCATTTTAATTCATTTCAAGTTTTGAACTGAACGATCATGCTTTCTTAAAAGGTTTTCTTGATTAAATTGTTACACGATCGGAGACCCTGTCACTAATCATTCCGTATTCATCGTGAACGACAGTCTCAGTCGACAGAATGGAATTGTATTCTTAGAATTTCATGGGAAAAGAGAATCGTGCGAACCAACGTTAACGATCCCTAGTCCAGAGGTCGAAATTAATGGAGAGGAGTCGTAGTTCTCTCCTCCAGTCGGCGATCGCTTCGGCATACCCTAACTCCAGGCGACGATATATCCCCGGCCTCGCGCGTTGGGGTGGCCGGGTGCATCGCGGCCAGGTAAGGGGCAGCTGTCCACCAGGTGCCAGTCCACCACCCCTCCACGCATCCTCCACCTTCGGGACGGTGGGGATCCGCCCGGTCTCATTGGATGCCGGCTCGCGCGCGTTGCGGCAATACTCTCGCGCTCCGCGACAGAAAACAGTCAGTCGTCCCAGGGCGCTCGACGGGGCACGCAGGCGATCTGCGATCTAGGTGGTAGATCGCCCCACTCGTCGCCGTGACACGCGGTTATTGTTCGCAGTCCTTTTCCTCTCTTTCTCTCTCTCTCTCTCTTTCTCCGTCTTGGGTTTAGGGTTTGCACAGTGATCGCGGCGACGTCCACCCGTTAAAAACGTCGTCGAATGAACAACCAGTCGCGTCTGGACGGGAAAGGATTACGGAGTCACGTTTAATTCAGTCATTGTATGTCTCATCGGATTTTCCTCGCGTTGAGATTTTCGTTTAGGGTAGTTTCACGACGTTGACGGTCAAGCGTAGTGGTGGTGAAGGAGAAGCGGAGGGAGTAATCTCGTCTTCGCGTCTCAGTGTCCGAAAGTGCGATCCTCAGTGAGCCATCGGAGTTAAGTCCGTCGTACCTCGACTCCGCGACCGTTTGTCCCTCTCAGTTTCCCATCTCCATCTGCAACACATCTGTAAGTCGCGGCTTATCGCGCCTGACTCTCGCGGGAGCAACACGGCCACATTTATGGGGGTGTCCGGCGAGTGCGCGATCAAGGGCAGCAAAAGCACCCACCCCTGTCACTGCTGCGGCCACGGCAGCAGTTCCGGCGCGAGCGTGCAACAATCGCAGCAACAACAGCAACAATCCTGCGAGCCGTATTACCACCACCACCATCAACACCATCATCACCACCATCATCATCACCATCACGGCAAGCACGCACCGCCGAGCGCGTCGCCGCAGCACAACAACAGCGGCGACAACAACATCCTGGCACCGTTGCGCAGCAAGATGAAAGTGCTCAAAAAGCTCAAGCGCAAGATGGGTCTAGGTGAGCCACATCTCCGTCATTTCCTCATTGTCTCTGATGCTTTTCCGGTCACTGCTCGGCCGATCATGCGACTAATCGATCGATCACGAACGCGTTCCGCGAGACACTGCCTGATTTTGTCGGTCAACGACACTCGGACAGGCTTCCTTCGAGTATGAGGATTATGAGCAAAGTGTAGGTTCAATTCGTAGGTAAACAGACGGTAATTGGATTTACCGACGTCTGTCTGATTTCACGTATCTGTCTATTTACAGACCTTAAATTTTAGAAATTTATTGCGAAAAAGATTGACTCCTCCCACACACAGAGACACCCACACACAGAGACACCCACACACACACACACACACACACACACACACATTTTCATTGGTGTTTTATTGTAGAATATCAACTAGTATACCATAAATCACACACCCCATTGCGCAAGCTTTTGCCAAAGCGATCTGCATTCAAATCGTCGTTGTAAAATTGAATTCATCGAACGCCCCTGATGAATATTGCTGATGGAGCCGAGCGGCGAACTCTCGTCATCGAGGAACGAATATCTAAACTCTAAAACGGCGATAGAACGGACGGGGAAACTATTTTGGCTTTTATTCCCCGTGGTCCATCGGCGGTTTATCGCACCGCAAGTTCGATAATTGTTGACGACGCATCTGCTACCTCCAACTTTTCGCTATATTTCGGGAGAGTTTAATCATCACTTTTCCCGTATTATTTAGGAAGGTATACTTATACTTGTGTACCGACTGGCGGTTTAAAGCTCTGATAAAAAATTAATACACATTTCGTACTGATGGAGGAACTGTTTAACTTGTGGATAAAACGAAATAATTTCGAGGAAAGAATCGTCTTCCAGTTCAAAAGTTGTTATTGTTGTCGCATATGCTAAATTCGCAGAGCAATCAAATCTATAGTACGTGATCGATACCGAACTGGTGCGCGATATAGTAGAAGCTGATTGAAAAATACTGGCCGCGGGCAGCTTTGTTTCGTACGACTGCCGACTGTTTCCGATTTCCGAGTGCATCGTCGTCGCGCTCGTTTCCATCGCGCGCGTTCAGTAAAAGCTCATTTCGCGGCGAGCTTATGGCCCGAGTTATGTTTCGTTGACCGACTTTTCCTTCAATGGACGATCCTCTGGATTCCACGAGGCAGCCGCGGCTGCGAAGGGGCATATCGCTTCTCTCCTTGGCTTCCTTCTCCGTCTCGCTTCTAACATCCCGCGGCGTTCTCATCAGATATCCTTCCTTCGCGATTCAGTCTTTCGCGAATGTAGCATTGTCGACGACAGTTTCTCATAACGTAACTGGAAACTACTCCTCAAACCCTTTGCTCACGCGACTTTTGTCTTCGATACCCATTGCGCTCACTCTCTTCTTTGTCTTCCGTATGTCCATCATCTTGACACAGAATTTCGAGCGCAATAACGGAGACAAAAGCAACGTCGTCGAAGATGTTTCCGATTGCTATTTCTGCTTCTTATGACTTTGATTTTTTAGAAAGGATTAAATTGGAAGTCTATTTAAATAATAATAATACATGGAAAAAGGAATTAATATTCTTAATTAAAATGACTCACGATTTTATACATATATATAAGTAAAATTATATACAGAAATTTACTTGTCTAATTAATGATATTAATATGTATATGATAACGCTTGAAAGATGTCTGTAGGAATACTTTTTATACGCATATTATGCGCAACATGATTCTAAGAAAAGGTTTTTGTTTGTGGCTACATTCTCATTGATCTGTACATTCCGATGTAATCTGATGGCCGAGATCTTAAATGCTTTTTCCCGACGAGATTTGTAATAAACGGTTCTTTACTATGAGACAAAGCGTTAGTTGTTGTTGATTAAAATCGAGGTTAAAGGTTACAAGTAGAATGAAGTGGAATGGAGTGGAGTGGAGTGGAGTAAGGAAAAAGATTGGCTTTCCTTACGTGATAAATTTTACGTGTCAACGACTTTCTTCCACCGGGAGGTTTTAAGGGACCAACGCAATGCGAGCCCTTTGTGGGAGGGCTCTGAACCATTGAAGATTTGTGAAAGGGACAGTGTGTTCCTGGGATACTTTATATTAGAGAAGAATTGTTTTCAACTAATTCTTGCGCAGCTTGAATTATATAATTAACAAATAACAATATAATATTCTATGAAGATATTATAAAACTGTCTTAATCTTCAAGTTCATAATTTTTAAAATCTGATTGGCAGAAGTTTTGCAAAGTTTGTAACCGCATTCTTGCGATTAAATCTTTCGCTGCAGCATATAATATGAATTAAATGAATAAGAAACAATACGCAATATATGTCGCAATATTTGTATCTTGCATTTATATTTCACATTTAATTATTAAGGTCTCATTATTTCAATCGCCAAAAATTTAAAATAATCTTGTTTTCAAGAATGATATTTTTTTCCGGAGCCGCGATTGTTCGATCAATTCTTTCTCCATTTCTCGTGCATGAGAGAAGTCACTTTTATCTCTGTCTCTCCTTTTTCTCTTTCCCTCTTCCGATCAAAGTAAACTGGAGCAAACAGCTGACGCAGCCACCTTGAAATTTCAGAGTTGTCTTGTTGGTTGCTTTGCATGAAATGTTTGGTCCAGTTGATAAGCGCGTTTATATGTATCCAATATTTTACTTATGTACTTCGTCATGTACCTCCTCATGACCAGAGTTTTACTTCGAGAAGAGAGGAAACGAGAAGAAGAAGAAAAAGAAGAAACGGAAAAGAGGGATATTTTTAGCGGGATAGAACACTTTATATTTTTTGCTACGATTATCTTCACGGCATAAGCGAAATGAAGAAAGTAAGTCATCGTATCGCTTCTGGAATACCACTTCTTTGGCTCTTGCTCCTTTACCTCTTCTTTTTCTCGTTTTTTTGCGGCTCGGTGAATCACTCGTTTCTCGGTTGCAGAGATTCCCAGCCTCTTTACTTTCTCATCCTCGTCGCGACTTTTTTTTTTCCTCGCTCTCTTAACGGCCACAGCTGAGCTACCTCTCTCTTTCTCCGTCTTTTGTAACCAGCCTGCCTTACTGTTTCATCTCGTATTCTTTCTTTTTACCTGTAATCGGGATATATCGTGTTGTTCGATCGTCGACGAGACGAAGAGGAAAAAAGATTCGTAACCTCAGAGGATTTTCTCGTGCGATCGAGAAATGCCGGTCATGACTGGGTTGAAGTTTACCTGTTCGAGGAAAGGGTCCTTTCCCCCCTTCGATCTGAGTCACTGAAAGCGATTGGTGACGCATTAAGTTGCTGACCGTGACGAAACGTTATTGCAATGTAAATTGCATAATGTTGCGCTTACGCGTGCATGCAAACAATGTACCACCTGCGTCGGATATGATTCAAGGATCCCAGAGAAGTTTCCCACAAGTTTCACTTTGTCACATCCATTGAGATCTTGAGCTTCAGCTATTAACATACTTTTGAATCTACAATAAATGTTAAAGTCCTGAGTTATCGATTTATTTAACGTTCAGTGAGAAAGTTAGTTGAAGTATCATTACGTTCTTGGAATCTGAGGTCTTGATTGAGTTTTCTTTAATTAACTTATTTACAACTCGACGAATAAATAATTCATCAAACACACACGCATATGTAGACATGCATACAGGCTCTGTTAAAGCAATTACTATCATCTAGTCGCGGATCTCTCTCTCCTGCTATCTCCCCAATTATGTGGAAATGAAATTTCTTACGGTTTCCGCGTGTCTCCCCGAGTCCTCCTTCCGGTGCGGGTGTGCCTCGCAAGTCGTTCGAGTCGTCTCGTAGAAGATTCAGCCAAGAGGCGATCACTGACCGTCCTCACTGACTCGACAACCTCACACAACCCACCCACCCACTTTCCGCTTCGCCGTGTGACGTCAGAGAGTGAGTCGCGGGACGGAACCCGTCTTTGTTCCCACAAGCGTTTCGCGAACCGGTTTTGCGGTTCACGATGCCGCGTAGTATTCCTGTCAGCTGGTCGGACCGCTTAATCGGGGAATTCTCCGCTTATTTTAAGGGTTTGGCGGCCGTGTCCTCGGGAGTCAAGTCCCTTCCGAGAAAGTCCATTCATCCTTTCTCCCTGAACGACGCACGTAAATTAGCGATAACGCGTGATAAACATATCGAAATTCATAACTGCAGTGCATTTATCGTATTCTTATCTCGACAGACTATCCACGTAAATAAATATATATAGTGTATATACACAGACCGCAGGATGAGTTTCGCGAACTTTAAATAGATTACAATAAAAAGCAAAGTTATCTTCTAAATACTGCATAAATATCAGGCGATCTTCTTGTCGAATAAATTTCTGTGTTCGTTAATTTAGATATTTTCAAAATAAGAATCGTTGTCTCGCTTGAAGTATACTTCGATGACGTTCTTGTCTCTGCAGTTACACCTTCTTCGTTCATGCTGACCGATCCGGAAAGATAATTTCGACGGGGTATCGTCCGCAACATCCGGCACGTCGCGAGCGGTTTCAAGAACGGAAGTCGACATTGATAGGACACAATGGAGCGCCGAGAGTTCCGTTTTCCTGGATCGCGTTCCCCTGCCACGGCCTTTTGTCCGAGACGAAACGCGTCCGCTCACGTCTCAATTCTAATTTCATCCGAGCCCTCGATAACGATTGCGGATCGTCTCGGGCGCGTCGGTGGAACGGAGATCCCGCCGTTTTCCGTGCGAGTCCGCTTCGCGCTCCTCCCTCGCCGCTCCGCGGAGGAAGATCGTAATCTCGGTCGACGCGGACGTGTGGAAAGTGGACCTTCGCGGAAGCAAGGTGCGTGAACACCCCACGTGGGTACGCAGCGCGTGCACCGGAAGCGGCCTCATAAGCAGGACTCGTGCGCCTATCGCGAGCCGCTCTCGGGCTCGGCTGCGTGGAAATTCGTAAGATCACCCTGCCGTGACGCCGATTCGTTCTGAGCCACATTCGTCTCGCCTTACGTAGCTGCGTAACGTGACGTAATTGCTGAATATTT